AAGACTTCATTCACATACAAACTGCAGTCGATCATACTCTGTTTCAATACTCTTGTCTAGTTCCATTCTTCCTCCATCTTCATCATCCTTCTCCCCCAATGTCACATCATCTTTTACCTTCTTCACATTCTTCTCCTGCACATTCTCCTTCTTCTTTGAAGGGCTCAACAACAAAAGCTTTTCCGAAGCCCCATCATCATACAAATCAGGTATGATCAAAGGCACACGATTCTCATCCAAGCAGAACTTCAACATGTCAGCGTTACTCAAGAAATCATTTATGTCATTCGAGCTTGACTTTGTTGTTGTTCCCTCTGATTGTGGCTTTTGGTATGTTACTTATTAGGTTATGGAATTGCTTGCTTGTATTGATCACAATAGATGTACATATATAGTTAGAGTACAAAGAGTATTAAGGGAACGTAATTACTGCAGTAATGATAGAGCTGTTAGAGCATAATTATATGATGTCTAATATATACTTTCTATATGTCTTACACACCCCCACAAGACGGACGGCCGGTAGAGAGTCCGATCTTGATAAGCAATGAGTCAAATGAAGGGCGAGGTAGAGGTTTGGTTAGAACATCGGCTAGTTGATCATGAGAAGAGACATGTGAGACTCGTAGTTGTCCAGCTTGAATGTATTGTCTGACAAAGTGATAATCAAGTGCCAAATGCTTCATCCGTGAATGAAAAACTGGAACTGCCGCCAAGTACGTTGCACCAATATTGTCACAATATATCACCGGTGTTGTTGTTGACTTGATCCCGAGTTCCGTGAGGAGTGAGTTTGTCCAGCAGACTTCAGCCGTTGTAGAAGCTAATGATCTATATTCAGCTTCTGTCGAAGAACGTGAGACAACAGTCTGTTTCTTGGAAGACCATGCTACTGGATTACGGCCGAGATAAACAATATACGCCCCTGTGGACGTGTAGTCGTCCTTGTTGCCTGCCCAGTCCGCATCTGTGAATGCGTGAAGCGATGGGGTGTTGTGTGCGTGAAATGTGACTCCTTTCGTCATTGTCCCAGCAAGATATCTGAGAATTCGCTTGACTGCATTCCAGTGTTCTGTGGTAGATTTATGCATGTACTGCGACATTTTGTTGACCGGAAAGGAGATGTCTGGCCTTGTTAGAGAGAGATATTGAAGGCTCCCGACTACAGCTCTGTATTCTGATGGATCGTCTAGTGGAGTTCCAGAGAAGAGTGTCAGCTGCGTTGAAGAGCACATGGGTGTTGCAATGGGTTTGCAGTTCTCCATCTGTGTCCTATAGAGTAAATCTGCAATATACCGAGTTTGTGTTAGGTGCATGCCTTTTGATGTACATTGAACTTCAATGCCAAGAAAAAAAGATAGATCGTCTAAGTCTTTTAGAGAGCATCTCTGCGAAAGTAAAGCTATAAACTTAGACAAATGATATGAGCTATTTCCTGTGATAATTAAATCATCAACATAAACAAGCATGTAAAGAAGAACTCCCTGTTTTCGATAGATGAACAATGATGCATCGGCCAAGGAGTTGGTGAAACCAGCTTGAAGTAGAAACTGTTTGAGCTCATTGTACCAAGCTCTAGGCGCTTGTTTGAGGCCGTAGATGGCTTTGCGCAACCGGCACACTGCGTTTGGATTTTCTTTACTGATGAAACATGGTGGTTGTGCCATGTAGACCTTATCTTTTAATGTTCCTTGAAGAAAGGCGTTGTTAACATCGAGTTGACGAATGGGCCAGTTGGCTCATACGGCAGTGCTTAGGACAATTCGTATGGTTGCCGGCTTTACTACTGGACTGAATGTATCATGGTAGTCAATGCCTGGATTTTGTGTGAATCCTTTCGCCACCAGCCGAGCTTTATATCTAGCTATCGCTCCGTCTGGATTTCGTTTGATTGTAAATATCCACTTGCAACCTACAACATTAAAACATTTATCATCAGGCAAGTCCTCAAGATCCCAGCTATGGTGACCTATTTGAGCGTCATATTCAACACTCATAGCTTTTCTCCAGTGGGGACTTTTGAGAGCCTCAGCAACTGTTCTTGGTGGTGTTTCCCTCGTCTGCACCACCTTGGCGTGAAGGTTTAATTTTTGGACAGGTTTCCTTTGGCGAGTGCTTTGTCTGGTCGGAGGAGGAGGTGCTGGCTGAGTCTGAGGCAACTCTGGTGCTGGTGGTATCTCTGGAACCGTAGGAGATTCTGGTTCTGTGGTAGTCGAAGGTGTTGTGGTAGGAGTTACAGTAGACGTTGGCTCTACCGTCGCAGCAATGTTGCGTGAGGTTTGTTCTGAAGTTGGTATGGCTGAACCTGAAAGAGTATTAATAGAAGACACAAGATTGACAGGAGGGTAAGTGAAGATGTTAGACTCCTCATCGTTAGTGGTTTCTATAGGAGCAGGTAATGAAAATGGAAAAACATGTTCATGAAATACTACATGCCGAGAAGTATAAATTCTCGAAGTGAATCTGTCTAAACAGAAATACGCACTTTGTGTAATGGAGTAACCCAAAAACACACATGGTGTGGATTTCGCATCCAATTTATGTGATGTATATGGTCGAATCCAAGGGAAGCATAAGCATCCAAATACTTTGAGTTTTTGAAAATTTGGACTATGTCCATGTAAAGCTTGAAAAGGCGATATGAATTCTAAAACATAGGATGGCATTCTGTTAATTAAATAAACAGTCGTTGCAAACGCATAGGTCCAATAAGACCGTGGCATTGACGCATGCGATAGGAGTGAAAGTCCTGTCTCGACAATATGTCGATGTTTACGCTCTGCGATGCCGTTATGTTCTGGCGTATGCGGTGGACTCGTCATATGAGAAATGCCATGTTGAGCAAAAAAATCTCTCAGCCCAATATATTCACCCCCATTATCTGTGTATAAGGTTTTAAGCTTGGTTTGAAATCGGTTTTCAACCAATGCTTTGAACCTAGTAAAGACATCAAAAACTTGTGATTTTAATTTTAAAGGATACAGCCAAGTGTATCTTGTGTAGTGATCTACAAAAATAACATAATACTTAAAACCATCGATAGAAATAACCGGAGACGTCCATACGTCAGAAAACACAAAATCAAGAGGCTGAGAAGATCTAAGAGTTGAGTTTTGAAATGGTAACTTATGCATTTTATTAATAGAACAAGAATTGCATGGCTGAGCCATTAAAGAGTTTGAAACAGTAGGTAACTGAAATTGAGAAACAACTTTTTGAAGAATAGAAAATGCTGGATGTCCCAAACGGGAATGCCAATCCGACAAGGTTGTCTTCACGGCTGATGCAAAAGCAAGTAAAGGTTTCGAAATAGAGGTTTGTGGCCATTGGTACGTACCATCTCTAGGTTTCCCTTCGAGACGAAGTGTCTCTGTTTCCAAGTCCCTGACCTGAAAGTAAGTAGGTGTAAACGTAACCGCAACTCCATTAGCAGTACATAATTGAAACACAGATATGAGATTCTTTTCTAGAGCAGGAACACATAAAACGTTGTTTAAGAAAAATGGACGAGTATAAGGGGGAATAGAAAGGGAACCAGAGTGTGAGATGTTGAGTCCTGAGCCATAACCAAGCAACACACCATCACCACCATTGTAAGGATTGTGAAATGACAGATTACTCAGGTCGGAGGTCATGTGATGCGACGCGCCAGAGTCGAGTAACCATGTTGCAGAGTCAGACATCATTGCTGGATTTGCACTTGGTGGTCACTGCTGTGGCTGTTGGTTACACTGCTGATGCTGTGGCTGTTGATTCCACTGCTGATGCTGTGGCTGTTGGTTCCACGAGTTGTTTAGCCTATGATGATGTTGCTGTTGTGGCACTGATGTGGAACCCTTGACTATGCGAAACTCAGGACAGTACCTGGCACTATGGCCTTGTGTTTCACAAGCTTGACATCTGCCAAGGTAGGGTTTTGAGAATCGTTGCTGATTGGTGTTGTTGTGAGGGTTCCGATTCTGATTGCTGTTGTTGTTGTTGTTGTTGCGGCGCCATGGTTGATTCTGATTTAATCGAGTTTCAGTGGCATGAGCAACAATCGGAGTGACCGGAGCTGTTTCATTGCTCATGATAGTGGCTTCACGGTTTAGCAAACGCTCATGAAGTTCAGCGTATGAGATGGGTGTATCACGCCCATGGATTGCATCGATTTCAGGCTTGTAGTCATCACTAAGACCTGCAAGGACACGTTCAATGAGGTCTTCATGATCCATTAGTTTTCCCAAAAGAGCGAGATCATCTGCTTTGGATTTGATGGAAAGGAGATACTCGCTGATAGTCTTTGTGCCTTTGACACATCTTTCAATCTGAAGTTTGAGTTGTCGGATGTGCCCACGAGATGCGTTACCGAAGGTTGTGGCAAGGGTGGTCCAGACTTCTTTAGTTGTATTAGCGCTTGTGACCACAGATTGGACGGGAAGGGAGATCGAGCCTATTATGGAGCTGAAGAGGAGACGATCTTGACGGCGCCATGGAGCAAACTCCGGGTTCGGAGAGGAGACTCCGTTCACCATGATTGTTGACGGAGGTGCAGTGTTGGTGTCATCAATGAAGTGTTGTAACTCATGCCCTTCAAGTAACGCACGGACCTGTCGGCTCCACATCACGTAGTTGAGATGAGTGAGTTTGGTTACACTTGACATGTTAACCGAGAGAAGAGAACTCTGAGGATCTTGTGTATTGAACACTGAGGTTCTTTCGGCCGTTGATTCTGACATGTTTGAGAGGAAGAAGAACTAGGGTTTGAGAACAGAGGAAGAAGAACTAGGGTTTGAGAACAGAGGAAGAAGGAGATGAGTGAAGGAGGCGGGAGAAAAAAAGAAATTGGAGCCTACAGCTCTGATACCATATTAGGTTATGGAATTGCTTGCTTGTATTGATCACAATAGATGTACATATATAGTTAGAGTACAAAGAGTATTAAGGGAACGTAATTACTGCAGTAATGATAGAGCCGTTAGAGCATAATTATATGCTGTCTAATATATACTTTCTATGTCTTACATTACTAAAGGAAGACCATTCGTGTTTGTTTCTCCATCATCAGTAACTTCCTCCAAAATCTTCGCTCCTCCTCCTCCCCCTTCCGTCTTTCTCCAACTGTTTTCCTTAGGCTGAAGCAACTGAACCAACAGACTTGGATTCTGCATAACCATAACTAAAAAAGAAAGCATCTCTTGTTGACTCTCTTCCATCCCTTCAACTCTGTCTTCTAAGTGAAACATCAACATCAACGCCAACGCTTTCTTATCCCCTTTCAAAATATCAACTTCTTTCCACAATTCACTCTTCTCAGACTTTCCCTGAGTAGGAGCAGCTGTAGCTTTGCTCTGATGCTCTCTACTCTGAACATTCTTCCTCCTGATTACATTCTTTAGCAACTCCTTTTCACCTCTCACAAACCAGTCATTCGCAAACTCATAACGATCTGTATCAACTTTTCTAAAACCCTGACACCAAAAAAAAAAAAAAACTCTTTACTCTCACCAACCATAATTCTCACTATATTGAAAAGAAAACATCTTTATTAATAATTAGCATATACCCATTTCATCATTGACATAAAGTAATCAAATTTCTCAAAAAAGAAATCAACTTTACAGATTCCAAGTTTTCAAGAAACAACAAAAGGGAAATTCAAGAAAAGAAATCATTATCATTGATAGAGAGAGAGAGGGAGACTAACGTCGATGTTGAGCTGGCGGATGAAGCTAGAGAGGTTGCTGTGTTTGAAGTATTTGGGCAAGAGCTGAGCAGAGAAGACGGTCGTGTCAGATATAACGAAGCTATTATCTCCATTAGAACTCCACGAGATTATTGAATCAGTTGAGGAATAGTCCTCTGAAAAGCTTTATATCCTCTAGGAGATGGAGTTTGAAGTCTCAGAAGAGTGTCAAAACAGAAGCTTCCAAAGAAGGTTTTGTGGAGATGTATGTAGAGAGAGAGAGAGAGAGAGAGAGAGAGAGAGAGAGAGAGAGAGAGAGAGAGAGAGAGAGAGAGAGAGAGAGAGAGAGAGAGAGAGATCAGGTTAAGCTTTGATAAGAGCTGTCTTGTGACCTATTTTGTGTTCTTGGAAAACCTTTTAAAGTATAATAAAACTAACATAAAGTGTTTGGTATTAGATTGATCTTTGAGTTTCATAACGCACAAAGTTGAAGTAAAAACTCAACATCCTTTATTGGAAAGGAATTAATAAAAGTAAGTAGTAATTTTAACTGTCTAGGCTCTCCCTAGTAATTTTGATCCAGATAAAATCCACAGGTTATATATGCTATAGCCTATAGGCATGGAGACTCAAACAAACAAAGTGCTTTTTTNTTAGATTGATCTTTGAGTTTCATAACGCACAAAGTTGAAGTAAAAACTCAACATCCTTTATTGGAAAGGAATTAATAAAAGTAAGTAGTAATTTTAACTGTCTAGGCTCTCCCTAGTAATTTTGATCCAGATAAAATCCACAGGTTATATATGCTATAGCCTATAGGCATGGAGACTCAAACAAACAAAGTGCTTTTTTGAAGGGATTTGTAAAGCTTTTGAAAGAACAGCAAGCCGATGTACTCCTAAAGGCATGTGACGGTGATGAGAAGGCAGCTATTTGTGCCCATATGATTATTCTGGTTGTTACTTCTTCTCTAGATTCTTTTTGCTTTTACATAAAATTATTTCATTACTAATGTTTTTTCCTTGACATATATATATGTGGAACTTGTATAGTCTGCAAGATCAGAGGTGTTTAACAAATTTTTTGAATCAGACAATTTAAGGCTTCGTCCAGGCTGGAAGCAATCACTCTCTCAGAGCTGAAAGAAGAAGAATTAGAAGCTCTTGTTGAGTTCATTTATAGCGATGGCTCTAAGCTTTCAAAGAAAGCGAAGCAACCGACAAATATGAGTTTCCCCATCTATGTGATCTATTCAGAAACGAGCTTATGTCATTTCTTTGCTCTTCATTCTTGTACTCGCCAAAATATACGATTTCTAACTCTTAGGAGTTTAAAAAAAACTCTAAGGAGTTCGAGTGTTTCGTCGTCGATCACCCAAATCTTACCATGGAGATAATGAAGGCTATTTTGCCGCCTAGTAACGATTGTTTTCATTGTCGTCGCTATTGACAGCAATGTGTTTATTTTTAGAGAAGAAAATCAACTGTTTAGTTTTGTCAAGTCTTATCAGATTTAATCGGACCAGGCCTCTTTTGTTGCAACTTTTTTTTAAGTTGATTTTTTCTGATTTTTTTTGTTCTAAATTAATTATATTCCCCATTGGTGGAAACATAAAAAAAATGATACATAGTTTTATGTATAGTCTGCAAGATCATATATGTTTAAGAAAATGTTTGAACTAGATAAATGCAACACTTCGCCCAGGCTGGAGACAATCACTCTCTTGGACCTGAAACAAGAGCAGTTAGAGGTTTGTTGAGCTCATTTATAGCAATATGGCTCAATGGTTTGAGAGAAAGGGAAGCAACATGTTAGATCACTATATTGTGCGAAAAATCTGAGCTCATCTAAGTGACTTTTGAAGATATCTAATCAGAGCAGAGATAAAATAGTTCATAAAGTGCGACATAAATTTCTATACATAAGAAGGGTTTAACGTAGAATTGGTTGGAGTGTTCTTCAAAATGCGAACATTAAAGGGAAATTTACCTTGAAAACACCTCAAGGTAAGTATTATAGAAGAAGCAATTAACCTTACACAATAAGAGAGATTGACTTATTTGCCGAAGAGCACAAAATAAAAATGTATATTTTGTAGCTTTTTAGGTCAAAAATTTTCCTCTGAAATATAAAGAGGGTGTGGGAATCAAATGTGCCGGTTAACACACATATAGAGCTTTTGGCTGGGAGAGTTTTGGTGAGTCCTTTTAAGGTTGAGGATAAACACTAAGGGTTCAGAAGCGTAAGTGGTTCAAAAACTTAGTACCAATCTTTGAACATGAGTGACTAGTTCAGTAAGACAGGGTATATCTTGAGCTTGGTGAAGAACTGCTTTTAACTGAAACTTATATGCGCATTTAAAAATATTAATCTAGTTGTATTACTTGAAAATAATTTACTTTTTGTTATTGTGTGTTCTAGTTCTTGTAGCAGGTAACTCTCATATTTACAATTGGTATCCTAACGGTGATTTGTGTTTTCTAAACTTGTAAGGATCCTGTGGAACAAATGGAATGCTATCAAGAGTTACTATCAGATTCAAAAGTCATTTTGGATGCTGAGAACTATGGTTTTTGGGAAGTTAGGATGAAATCTACAATCAAAAGTATTGATCCAGTCGCATGGAAAGCATTGGATTCTGGATGGAGGCAACCAACAGCCAGAGGTGAAGATGGAAATGATGTAACCAAATCAGAGGAACTCTGGACATATGATGAAAACAAAAATGGTGAAATAATGGTTTAGGATGTTAATGGTCTAACCTTGTGCATGTCCATTTGGTGTAACCTATTAAGAAACGCGTTACATGCTCAAGTTTTTACATCAAAACCCGTGAGGCCCGTGGGCAGCAGTCCCATTTTAGCATCCCTAATGGGAACTATGGTTTTACAAATTTAGGATGAAATCTACAATCAAAAGTATTCATCCACTCGCATGGAAAGCAGTGGATTCTAGATGGAAGCAACAAGCAGCCAAAGGTGAAGAAGGAAATGATGTATCTAAATCAGAGGAACTCTGAACAGATGATGAAAACAAAAATGGTAAACACAAAGTAAGAGTTCTCACGGCTTTTCATTGTAGTGTTTCATGAAAAAAAATTGAATTGATTTAGGATGTGAAGCAGGGTAAAATGAATGAGACATTCTCCAGAGGTACTTTGAAGGAATGAAAAAGTCTGGAGTTCTAAAAGAGACATGCTAGAAACTTATTTTGAAGATCTGAAAATGGATAAGCATGAATCTATTGTGGACTTCAGCTCCAATCTTTTTTCACTAGCACACAAAAATCTCACTCTTGGAAAAAAAAGAAAAGAAAAGAGACTAGTGAAGAAATTATTGAGATATCTACCTTCCAAAAGTATTTTTTTGTGTGTTTTCAGATTTAAAGTTTTTGATAAGTTTTCTACTTTATGTTGTTGTGTTAGCTTAAACATGTAGTGAGTTAGTGAATCATGAGCTAATACTGAAAGTTATGGTACTTGAAAGATATGTGGACCTCCTATATGTATGTGTTGTATCTAAGTTTTTTAGACAACTAATAAACAAAATTTAACTAACTATTCTCAGTCTTTATGCATATTTAACTAAGTATGATTTTCATGCATCTATATAAAGTGACATAATTCTTCACAAATTTAAGAAGTTATCAAGCAATTCTACTTGTGTTTGCTAGAAGTAAACAATTCTACATAACATAATTTTCTTATAAATGTACATTATCAATCTAAATTTTTTATTTTCTTTGTATCTAAATTATAATTGGGGCTGAAAGCAAAGAAAATTTACTACGAGGACCTGGAGAATGGATAGATCTTACTACAATATTGATTACAAAACCTACAATGGATATCTTAATATATTAGGTATAAATCTCATCACAAGTTGGAAGAATTTCGAACTGGCATAAAAGTGATCAGTCAATTTATCATCAACTATTTATTGCTTTTATTGTAGATGCTCATATAATTAAATATGGTACAAGTATCTGATCTACGTCATCCAGCCCAATTTATATTCATTGATTCAAAAAGTTGCCCAAATATTGCCCAAATATTTTGAGATTAATGGTCAAAGAAACCATTATCTCGAAGTAAAGTCTTACGGAAAAATCTCAAAACAAAATTTAAAAGATATCCTATATATAAGTTGTTGTTTCTCATGCGTGGGCTTAAGAATCTAACAAGCTTAGATTTGTCTGATTCAATGGATTTTTTTGGGAGCTTTCTAATGTAAGTATTCGTTTTTTTTCTTCATATTTTAGACTTTTGATTTCTGACTTGATTTTTTTTATAAACAAGCAGTGGTAAAACACCTAGAAGAAGACATTGTAGGAATAATAGGTCTTGATGCTCTCTCAGATTTGAGGTCAGCTATTAACATCTCGACATATTTTGAATTATTATTCCTATCTCCCTGATTCATGCAAAACAGTTGTTCAGTTATTTTTTTATAGACCATTAGTGATTCTTGAGTATATGTTTTGGCTAATGAGCTGCATGTGGTGTTTTACTTCCAAAAAAAACCTTGATTGGTTCACCTTGGATTCATACAATCCAAGAAATGAATATGAGGCTATGTGGAATGAAGAGTATGATGAGTGGGAATCCAATAGTGCAAGTGTCGATTGAAGAGTTGAAATTTTGTCTGCTGATGTTCCTCGTAAGAGAATGGGTTTTATATACTGGTGATAAAGAAGAAGAAGGTTCAATGAGACACTCGGTAGTTAAGAATCTATGTTTTTGATTATATGTTTTGGATCCAGTTTGAAGTTCTTTTGAGGGTGAGGTTGGTTTATTTATCAGATTTGCAGGTGTTAAGAAAGTTTAAACTCATGTGTTAAGAAATTTTGTAGACTACGTTTTTTTCGTAGGCAATCTTTGGTTTA